AATGCAGAATAAAGTGGAATTATGCTTTGGATATGCATTTCTAGTGATAAGGCCAAGGGTGGGATTCAGCCGGTTTGGACTGGTTCGGGCAAACAGGACGTTAATCTTAATCTGGTTCGTCGAACTGGTAGTTGCAAGGATTGGCTGACCCTGCCCACCCCGCCCTGCCTCTCCCAGGAGTCTCCATGCAGCCCGTTTTGGATGTCAGGTAAGTGCAGGGCCTGCACGGAGGCTCTGAGAGAACGAAAAACGGGCCTACCGGAAGTTCCGGAAGTCCAAAAATGGGCCATTTTCACCCTCCTGGAGGCTCGAGGAAAGCCTCCGGAGCCTGGGGAGGGTGAAAACACCCCCCCCATAGTGCAGGAGGCTGAGTAGGCCACACCCACCATGGCCACGTTCACCCAGCAACCAGAGAGAGGACCGGTTGCTAAAATTTCTGAATCCCATCCCTGGATAAGGCCTAAAAGTGCATTTACTTTAAATCTTTGGGGGGGGGGGGGTTTGGCAGCTGCATTCCATCTTGATTCATATTCAGTTTGTAATCAACCAACATTTCAAGAGATATTTCTCAAGTGCTATCACCCAAATTTCTCATCTGCATTTGATTTCTTTTACCTACTTCACATTTGCTTCTGTGACTAATTTCCAGCCCAGTTCTTTGGGCTGAATTTTATTTTTCTCTTCTATATTGGCTTCCTGTGTCATCCACACATTTAACAAAGTGCCTCTCTATCTTCTCATCTAGATTAGTAATAAACATGTGGAGTTCCATGATCGAGTCTTTTAGTGCCTAACTCCAGCATTCTTTGTCTATGGTTTTCTAATTTTGTCTTCTTTCTATGGAGATTGTCAATCATCAGTTCATTGTTGTCCCAAAAGTGCTTTTTCAAAAGGCAAAGAAAAAACAAGAAAGACCAGATGCCTTTTGAAAAAACACCTTTGAGTTTATCTTCTAACCCACTTGGTAACAATCATGTAATAGTTTCTTAAAAAACTTGAAATTTGCCACGTATGTTCCTCTTGGCTTCTAGGTGCTCACTAAGAAATGATTTTTCAAAATGACCATCAGAGCATTAATATTTTCTATATTATGATTAACACGCTCTGATGCTAATTAATTAGACTTTCTACTCCCCCTCCCAACCTGAAAATAACTCTGGAGAGAAGGGGATAGGATAGGAGAGGCTTCTGTGGGGCAAGGCTGAGGGAGAGAAGGGGAGAAGAGAGGTCGATCGTAACTACTCATTAATTTTCAAGCTGTAAGTGTCGATTTATCAAGCCCTATCACATAGTTTCGTAGCGGAGCATGAGTATTCAGCTAGTATTTTTATAAAATTGAACAGGACTGCAGCATTCTCCTACGATCTACCAAAACAACAACACCCTACTCAGTCAAACTATGAATTTAAATTTATCTGACAAAGTTTGTTGATTTCAATTACTAGTGATTAAATTGCTAGTTTAATAATCCAAGTATGATACTTACAGATGGATTTGATTTGTCTGTATTGCCCAGTTGTTTCTTTAATCCTGATTTGAGGACAGAGACACCAGTCTTCCTCAAGTAATCAGGCTCATCGCATATTCTCCAGGACTTTTCAAAGGTAATAAGAATATGACAAAAGAAACCTCTGTTATTATTAGGATCATTTGTTCATTCTGCGTATTCATTTTTCTTTTACCAGTTATGGAATTGCGGGCTATTTTCTTTTTTTCCCTAAGGTAGCCAACTCCCAACTTCAGGAATTTGATCTTGAGATGCTTTGCCAATTTTAATAGCTATTTGCTTGTTATTACAGTGGTTTTGATGACTTTTAATTTAAAAGTAAAGTTTACCATAGATTTCTTTTAGTCTGTTCTCATTATATATCCAATCCTCTTTGAATCCAAAGTTTTTATTTGGAATCCCTAGCTTTTTTATATACATATAAGTAACTGACTGTTCTGTAGTTCAACATAGTTTCATTTAATTTTCCATTATGTATAACATCCTTCTAATGCCGGCTGGGGAATTAGGGCTGTCTTTAATGCATGGGCCTGATGGGCACCCCATGAGCATAGGGGGCCACTGGTGGGTTGCCCCCGGTTCAGACTGGTTTGCAAGAACCAGTAGTAAAACCGGAGGGAGGCTCCGCCCACCGACCTGGACGTCATCATAGGTGATCTGTGCATGCGCAGAAGCTTCCCAATGCGAACCGGTAGAAAAGGTAAGTAGAACCAACCCTGTAGGGGGCCCATACTAATCTATGTATGTTAACCTTTCAATGCACCTTGTATCATATAAATGTCTAGTTTAATGAAAAGAAGGACCAGGGTAGACATGATAGCAGTGTTCCAATATTTCAGGGGCTGCCACAAAGAAGAAGGAGTGGAGCTATTCCCCAAAGCAGCTGAGGGCAGGACAAGAAGCAATGGGTGGAAACTAATCAAGGAGAGAAGCAACTTAGAACTAAGGAGACATTTCCTGACAGGTTAGAACAATTAATCAGTGGAACAACTTGCCTCCAGAAGTTGTGAATGCTCCAACACTGGAAGTTTTTAAGATGTTGGATAACCATTTGTCTGAAGTGGTGTAGGGTTTCCTACCTAAGCAGGGGGTTGGACTAGAAGACCTTCAAGGTCCCTTCCAACTCTGTTATTCTATTCTAAATACAGCAACTTTATGGCTTACTGAGTATTATTGTGTTTTTCAAGCCTCGTGTATTATTCAAATGTTGGAAGTGCCAATAAAATAAATGTATGTTGAATTTTATCGACCATTTAACATTTTTATTCTTGTGAATAGTTGTCGTAGGGGCACCAGTACACTGCTTTGGCCGGAGGCCCATAATGCTGTTAAGACGGCCCTACTGGGGAATTCTTAAAGTTGCCAAGATTGAACAACACAGTAGTCAAAATGGAAAATTTATTTAGTTTTGAAATGGAGCCCTGTGTAGCTCAGTGCTACTGTGCCTCAGCTACTTTCGCCGACCTAATCCCACTGCCCCTCTTTCGCTTGTCATCTCCCATGCACTTAAAGACGTGCAGCCGGAGATTAGCCGATGGTGGGAGGGATCCACAGGATCCGCTGCTGCGGCTGCTCCCAGTCAGCCCCCCCCCATCCTCCCCTAGCCTTGGCACAGCTGACAGGGTGGTAGTGCAGGTTAAAAGACGGCCAGTTTCTCCAAATGAGGAGAGGGAGATCTTTGCCCTTTGAAGTGGGTAAAAAGGAAGAGGGGGAAAGGAACAGGAAAGAGGCAGTTAAGACCAGTAAAGACATTTTCACCCTCCACAAATGGTATGGGAAGTCATTGTTGCTGTTGTATGTATGTCATTAGCAGCAACCACTGGCAAAGAGAGGGCAGTTTGCCCAATAAGAAAAGGCAGAAGATCACGAGGGGTCAATAAAATCGCCAGCCAAGGACTGCTTTGAAAAACACAAAAACAACTAGGTGTTTTTTTTCCGTCTCCAATGCAAGAACAGAGCGAAGTGGTGGGTGATCTTAGCAGCAGATCCATTTGATCTTTTCACAGATAAAACTCCGTAGTCTGAGGATTATTCAAGACAACCAGAAGAAATGGTTGGATCTCCGCCCCTTGATCTAGGATTAGAACCTATATTTTATCGATGGTTAGAGAATAAAAACAGAAGTTAGAAATAAAAGGAGGAGATCAGTGAAATATAGAATATGTTAAGAGAGACGTAAACAATATAATGATGATGATGATGACTATTAGGATTATTATGTTTAATATTATATTTTTATTAGAAGCTAGAGGGAGAGGTGAATAGGTTTATTATGTTCAATATTAGTAAGATCAGAGAATCAATACCAATGTCATGAATACTGCTGTCAATTTTGATTACTACTGCACAGATATTTGTACCCAGTTGACAGTTTAATGGAAGATGAAATTATTACACTACACACACACACACACACACACACACACACACACACACACGTTTCCTCAAAAATACGACCCTTATATTTTTTTGAACCCTGAAATAAGCGCTTGGCCTTATTGCCATGCGCTCAAAAGCCTGATTGGGCTTATTATCAGGGGATGTCTTATTTTGGGGGAAACAGGGTATATATATATAAAAATCTAGGATTAGAACCTTTGGAAGGACCAATACAGGGGAATCTCCTTGGCTGAAGAATTTGACTGCTGGTTTCCTTTCATCTTCTTTCTTCAAGGCAACCCCAAATACATGGTGTGGTTTTTTTTATTTAAATATAAACATTCCATCTTCCCTTAAACAGTGTGTCCTCTGGGTACAAATATCTCTGTGCAATAACCATCAGGATTTACAACAGCATTCATTACACTGATATTAATTCTTCTGCTCTTACAATTATAGCATTGATTGAACATAGTAAACCTATTCATTTTTCCCTCTTAACATATTTTCATATAATAAAAACATCATATTAAGCATAATAATCATAATAATCATAATAACAACAACCATCATATTATTTACCTCTCTATCTTGACATATTTTCTACTCTTCTTTAATCCCCTTCTTTTATTTTCAACTTCCATTTTTATTTTCTAATGCATATCAGAATATTAGAATACACGGGAGTATGCTTGGATCTCTGGCAAATTGCAGGGACTTGCCCTGAAGGGAAAAAATAAAATAAAATCCAGGGCCGCATTTGCAAAACCAGGGTTGCGCGGTGTGGTACTGTGTGTGTATATGTGGTGTGGTTGGTTGTGTGTGGGGGGATTTATTCCACCCTTTATCAGTGAACGGCCGTGTTCCCGCGACAACCCACGCAAGCCTTCCCAGCCCTGCGCATCGTGCCAGCTCAGCCTTTGCGGGGTTAGTTCTCGGTCCGAGCGCGTCGGCCAAGCCGGCAGAGCTTCATTCAAGCGCCGAATTCGAAGATTGCGAGCCGCCTCAGGGCGCCCCGTTACACGGGAGGGCGGCTTTCTTAACTTGCTCCAGAAGGAAGGGAAGGCGGGCGGGCGGGAGGGAAGGCGAAGACCGCTGGGTCGCTTTAGAGGGGCCCCGGCAATGCCCGGCTTCCTGCCGCTGCGCGAGAGACAAAGGCAAGCGGGCCGCCTTTCCGGCGCTCCCGCCGGCGCTCCGCCAGCAGCTCCTCTTTTTTTTCCCCCCCGAGCGCGGGCCAGGCCGCTCATTGGCGCTCGCGCGGCTGGCGGCAGATTCCGGCTCCGCTGGGCGGCCGGGACGAAAGCGCGCAGCAGCCTCCGCGCTCGGGCGCTTTCGGCCTGCAAGGCGAGGCCGGCAGGAGGAGGAGGAGGAGGAGGAGAAGGAGGCGCGTAAGGTAAGGCTGGAAGCCAGCCAGGCCGAGCGGGGCAAGGGAGCTTGCGGTCCCCGAGAGGGGCGGGCCGCTTGGGCTGGGCTGGGCTGGGCTGCCGCTGGTGCCCATGAGCGGAGCGTTTGGTCAAAGGGCGGCTCGGCTCCTCCGCCGCCGGTCCTGCTGCTGCCGGAGGCTCGCCACATCCTGGCCCTGCTCTGTTCTGGCCGCCCGAAGGGGAGGCGGATGGAAGTCCATTTGAAGGTCAGCTCCCGCGCCTTGGCCGGGGCTGCGGACGGAGGGGGGAAGCGGGGAGGGATGGTGGGTGAAGCCCGTGCCCTTTGCGCAGATGGGCATCCCCGCCTCTTTCCCGGCCACTTTGGTGCGGCCCGTGTCTTTCCTGCGCAAGGGGCTCCCCCGCGGCCGCCTCGCTTCGCCTTCTGTGGAGCCCTGGCCGGGGTGGGTGGGTGCGTGGGGGGAGAGCAAAGCGGGCTTGGTGATCGGGAGGGGAGAAACGGGGTGGTGGTGGTGGAAATAGTATAGCCTTTATTGTCATTGTACATCAATGTAGAATAGGAATAGCAATAGCAATAGCAATAGCAATAGAATAGAATAGAATAGAATAGAATAGAATAGAATAGAATAGAATAGAATAGAATAATAGAATAGGAATAGGAATAGGAATGGAATATGGAATATGGAATAGGAATAGGAATAGGAATAGGAATAGGAATAGGAATACGAAAGAATGGAATAGGAATAGGAATAGAATATGGAATAGGAATAGAATAGAATAGGAATAGGAATAGAAATAGAATATGGAATAGGAATAGGAATAGGAATAGGATAGGATAGGATAGGATAGGATAGAATAGAATAGAATAGAATAGAATAGAATAGAATAGAATAGTTTATTGGCCAAGTGTGATTGGACACACAAGGAATTTGTCTTTGGTGCATATGGTCTCCGTGTACATAGAAAGACAAGATACATTCATCCAGAATCATAAGGTACAACACTTAATGATAGTCATAGGGTACAAGTAAACAATCAAATCATGTATACAACGAAATTGGTTTTAGCCTCACTGGTGCAATCCATGGCAAAAAAAAAAATTACAAACAACATAAATAGTATAAAGAATAATCCCTATGCAAGTAATTATGGGGGGGGGGGGAGGAGAAAAGAAAAAGAAAGAAAAAGAAAAACTAGTCATACATTTCCGCCTGTGCATGGAGCGGTTGTGGTTGTATTTAAGGGTCTGATGGGGATGGAGATGGGGGTTGCAGGGCATCGCCAGACTGACATGTGCGCCATGGAGTTGGGAGACTTTTCCTGCCTTTGAGATTTTCCTGCGGGGGTGGGGGTGGGGGTGGGGAAATCAATAGTATCAGATGCATTTCCTGGGAACCAGGAGAAGGAGGCTTAAAAAGGCTGGATAAATTCCTCCGTTGCAAAGAAGTGCGATCAGATTGGCTTGGTCTTCTTGGCTTTTAGCACAGTGTTGGAAAATCTAAGATGCTAGCTAAGATGCTAGATGTTCCAAAAAGTAAAATGCTCGCATGCTTAGCAAGGATACTGTGGATTGAAGTCAGTGGAGTGGAAAAAGAGGAAAGCAATGCAAATTTAATGTTCCGGGGCTGTGGATCTCCCTACACTTTGCGGTCCAGGGAAACAGATTTTTAACTTTGTTTATCTGCAGGATAAGGAGGAAATTCCCCGTTTCCAGTGCTTCTATCCCTCCATTACTAATGACTCTATTAAATACAGTTTCATGTTTGATGAGAGGTGAAAAAATGCTTTTTTTTCTTGTTGGCGATATTGCAATGTATGCGACAGGACATTTCTGTCACTGCAACCTGGCTTTTTTTTCTTACTTCTCTGCTTACTACTTACTGCTTATTCCTGCTGCTGGGATTCATCTTGGATAATTTTTTTGTGACAGCACGGAGTGCAGCTGCCTCTTTTCTTCCGGCCCACTTGGGCTGGAATTGGTCTTTAGGAATGGAAAAGAAGCTTGTTACCAGTGGACTTGATTATAAAGTAAAATAATCAAGTGTTTGTTATCTAATTGCCAGCCTTGATTAGAAATAGGTTCACTTAGACATTGAAATGTGATCATATTTGATGACAAAGTCGTTTTTGATGGCCTAGCTAATCATGTTAAAAATTAGCATTAAACAACACTTTTTGTTATAACCTCTTGGAATTCCTCAAGTACTGTATTAAGAACTTTTCCACCCCGAAGTAAATTTCAGCGCTCACCAATTTTCTGATTCTTTGTGATGTTTTCCACCAGCAACAAACCCCTGTCGGGTATCGATGCATTTATACACACATATTAAGACTGCAACTCTCAGAAAACACAGCCAGCACTATCAAGACCATGTTTCCTGAGCATTTGTAGAGTTATAATTTTAAAGTACCCAGAGGGCATAGGTAGGAAAGGCTATCCTAAAATATGGCCAGGTATTAAAACGGTCTGAAAACAGATGGACATTTGCATCTGTTTCTCACAAAGAAGGAATCTGAATCTCTTTCTCTAGTCTTAAAGAAATAGTTATAGGTTAGTGATTCCTCATATACTGACTATTTGCAGTTATGGCAATGATAAAAAAGAAACTTCGTGAACTTTGTTTACAGTCTATACAAAAAAAAAAGAAGAAAAGCTGAAGTAAGATCATAAAGCATAGTAACGGTTTTACTTAGCAACTACCTCGCTTAAGTACCAAATTGCAAGTCCCAGTTGTAGTTGCTAATGCTACTTGCATTGATGTCAATTGCAGTTCCACACTTGGTACACAGTTAAACTAAACATATGAAGGAGAGGATTAGAAAAAAGGGATGGTTCTTGGAGCTGCCCGATTAAAAGATCTTTTCCGGAGTCTTATGCAAAAGGAAACCCATTCTAGTCCTGATGGACCTGATTGTCCAATCACTTTCTTGAGTTAGCCTTTAGAGGATAGTGATAAAGCAGCAGGGGATACTTTGATCTACCAACAGAAGAAAATATAGGTAGCTCAGGGTTGTGGAGATCTGGTGCTCTCTTAGTTTGGTTGGTTGTTTTCTTGCAAACATTTTATTACCAGACTAGATAACATTTTCAGTATTATAACGTAGAACATAGAAGAAGGTTGGAAGGGAACACTAGGTCCAATCCCATGGCAGAAGATCCTATACCATTCCAAACTTTCTTTGGGCTTGATAGGATGGATACCTGCGATCATAGAAAGAATAACAAAAGAGAATAATAAAGTTGAAAGGACACCCGAGGTCCTCCAGTCCAACCCACCCATGCAGGCGGGAGACCCTATACCCGTGATGGTGAACCTATGGCATACAGAGCCCTCTCTGTGGGTACACGCACTGTCACCAGCTGCTCCTGTGGGTTCCGTTGCGTGCATGTGTGCTGGCCGGCTGCTGTTTTCTGGGTTCCAGCATGTGCATGTGCGCCAGCCAGCTGGTTTTCGCAAAGACCAGCTGGTTGGTGCGCATGCATGCGCTGGAACCCGAAAGAAAGCAGCTGGTCGGTGCGCATGCACGCTGGATCAGCTGGCCAGCATGCATACATGTGACAGAACCCAGAAGAGCAGCTGGCTGCCGCATGCATGCACACCAGCCAGCTGCTCTCTTCTGGGTTCCGGTGCTCCAGCGCACGCACTTGGTGCCGAAAAAGTTAACCATCACTGCCCTATACCATTTCAGACAAATGGGCGTCCAATGTCTTCTTAAAAGCTTTCAGTAATGGAATACTCACAACTTCTGGAGGCAAGTTGTTCCACTGGTTAATTGTTCTCACTGTCAGAAAATTCCTCCTTAGTTCTAGGTTGTTTCTCTCCTTGATTAGTTTCAATCCATTGCTTCTTGTCCTACCTTCAGGTGCTTTGGAGAATAGGTCGATCCTCTCTTATTTGTAGCAGCAACTCAAATATTGGAACACTACTATCATGTCATCCCTAGTCCTCTTTTCACTAGACTAAATATACCCAATTCCTGTGACCGTTTTTCATATGTTGAAGAATCATCTTCGTTGCTCTTCTCTAAGTCTCAACATCTTTTTTATATTGTGGCGACCAAAACTGGGTGCATTATTCCAAGTGTGATCTTACCAAGGCATTAAAAAGTGGTACTAACACTTCACGTGACCTTGATTTTTATCCCTTTGTTAATGCAGCCTAAGACTGGATTAGCTTTTTGGGCAGCTGCAGCACACTGCTAGCTTATATTTAAGTAATTGTTCAGTAGGACTCCAAGATGCCTCTCACAGTTACTACTATTGAGCCAGTTACCACTTATTCTATACCGGTGCATTTGGTTTTTCTTGCCTAAATGTAGAACCTTACAAGTGTTTGTCCACTCGGACTCCGAGCCAACTCACAGTTACTGCTATTAAGACAAGTTCTACCTATTATATGCCTACATATTTTTAGAGGGTTTCTCTTTGTTTATGTACAGTAGCTTGCATTGTCAGTTTTGATGGGAATGTTGTTTTCTTGATTAGGCTTGATTGTTTTCTGCTTGATTGTTTGTCTGGCATTAATCCTTGTCATAAAAGACTTTTAGGAAAGCAATTCTGAAAATAAAGGAAAGCCAGCGAGAATTGCCCATTTATCTTTTGTTTCCCAGGACATATTTCATAGGGTAGTTATGTCTTTTTGTACAGTTTTATTGCAGAAGAACAGTTAAAAAGAGCCGTGGTGGCGTAGTGGTTAGAATGCAGTATTGCAGGCTAATTCTGCTGACTGCCGGCTGCCAGCAGTTCAGCAGCTTGAATCTCACCGGCTCAAGGTTGACTTAGCCTTCCATCCTTCCAAGGTCGGTAAAATGAGAACCCAGATTGTTTGGGGCAATATGCGGACTCTATAAACCACTTAGAGAGGGCTGTGAGGCGATATATATAAATCTAAGTGCTATTGCTAAAATAATCAACAGTTCAACTACTGATACTGAAGAAGTCTGAATCCCTATCTAAAAAGTAGGAGATAGTTTGGTTGTGGTTTAATTATAGGGTGAGCAAGACATTTAA